AAATAAATAAATAGAAAAATAAATAAGTAAATAAATAATTAAATAAATAAATAAGAAAAAAAGAAGAAGCTGAGCCCAGGCATGATGGTGTATGCCTGTCACCTATGCTTGGGCTATGGGAACAGAAGGATCTTGAGGGCTAGGTGGCCAAATTAGTCTAATGAGCAAGTCACAGGGCGCAGTAAAAGAGCTTACCTGAAGAACACCACTAGAGATTGCCCTCTGGCTTCCACATGCACACACCTGTGTGTGCACTGAACACAGGTGCACATCTTTAAAAGTCTTAGTATTCACATTAACGTCTATGTGTTGGGCCACAGGGGTCCTTGTATTCACAGAGAAACACTAAGAGAACCAGGAATGCTAATGGTGCAGGGTTGCCTCCTCAATGAAGAGATAAAATTCTGCATTTCATCCAGAAAGCTGAGAGTGGAAGTTGTTAATGACCTGGTAACCTTTTTGCTGTCTGTGGAGGCAGACCTCACCCTGATTCCTCAGAATGATTATCCCAGAGTCTTCCCTCCCTAGACCATTTCCCATCCTTAGGGGGATGTCACGTGTACTTTATGGCCTGCTGACCTCTATGCTATCAGTCAGAGACCACACTAGATCCTAGGCTTTTTAGCTGTAGAACCCACCCTCATAATAACATGTACTTTGTAAATGAGTCTCTTTGTAGTACATCTGGAATTGAATTGATTGGACTCATTGTTGTCTGGAAACCTTTTCCCAGATTGTACTGTGTTTTAAATATACTGACAATGAACCGCCTGGCATTAGACTCCTGAAGTCTGATCCAGGTTGGTAAAGTCAGTCTGTACCGGGTTTCACTTCCCTGAGTGGCACCTGCAAGGACCGCCTCATGTGTGACCATGAGAAGTGTGAGCTGATTGAATGAATACCTCTGTACCGTTGTATTAAAACAGTTACACCACTGGTCCCATTAAACCAAAGCAGGCCCTGGCCCGGCAGTTGTTGCAGAGAACACTGTATGCCCAGAAAAATGAGAAAGCTGTCCTTTCCTGACAGGTGTCCCTCTGCTGTCTTTTCCAGTGCCCCTGGTGTGCCGTGACTATGGATCTCCTCCTCCTCAGACTTGTCTCTGTTCCCTTGGACCTCTTGCTGCGCATCTCCTCTTCTGGGTGAACTGCTGGTGGCCATATCTGCTGGCACACTTGTGTTCTTTGTAGAAGCTCAGCTGTTAGTTTTGGAAGAGTCTGTCCAGCTGGGGTACAACTCCCACTGGAGTCTCAGGACAGGGTGAAAGGGGGGCTCTTCCATCAATCAGGAAAGCAAAACCAACGTAGGTGTTCCACAGAGAGAACTTTCTACGGGGATTTAGGTAACAAAAAAATTTCTACAAGATCTGTGCATGGTGGTGCACACTGCACTGTGGCGACAGACAGAGGCCAACCTGGGCTCCATAGTGAGACCTTGTCTCAAGCATACACACATACAAATTGTTAAGTGGACGCTGGAGCCAACAGGAGTGCATTGCGCAGAGAGCAGGCAGCACTGCAGAAAAGCTGTGTAACCCTGCAGACCACCCCAATTTCCCCATGTTCTACCAGCTGCTCCCCATACCCCAGGGTGTCCTCTGCTGCTGCTGTCCTGCAGTGGCCTGTGTCCCTCCACCTGCACATCTCTCTGCAGGGACATGTGTCCATGTGTAACCTTAGCAGAACTCTGCTGCAAGGGAGTCTGGAACACCAGGTGTTCAGAATTCCACCTCATCTGTGCTGAGGGGAATAGAAAAAGGAAAGTGTGACGAATTATAGCTTGTTCCCATTCGTGCCCCTTAGCAATTGATTGGCCCCTACAGCTCTCAGATGTCATTTCTATGGTGCTATTAGATTAGAAGGTGGGCTAGACCAGCCAAGGAGAAGGAAGCTCACTAATAGGGGGATTTTTGCTTGCCACTGTACACCAGCACTTTGCATAGACATGCAAATAACATTGAGTAGTCTGGTGATGCGCACACATGTATCCAGCACTCAGGTGGGGGCAAGAGGATTGGGAGTTCAAGGTGTTCCTTGTGAAATAGCAGGTTCTAAGCCAGCCTAGACTACAGAAAACCCTGTCTCAAACACACAAACATTGAGTAAATGATGTCTTAGTACATGCTTCTCTACCTAGCCTCCTCTGTCCCTCACACACTCTAGTCTCACTGCTGACAGGACTAACTTATTCCTACAGAAATAATGGTATTAATGTATAAACCAATGCTATGTTTGTAATAGAGAAAAAAGAAAAAAATATTAAATATTCTTTAATACGTATGTTAAGTTATGGTATGGTCCTAGAATGGAATATTATATGGTAAATTAAAATAACAACTTAAGTTATGGTATGGTCCTAGAATGGAATATTATATGGTAAATTAAAATGATAACAATAGATTTGATTGACATAAAAGTATATTTTTGTGAAATACTTCAAAGGAATATATATTTTCTCAATTTTGTAAAGCTTAAAATAAAATTGGTCGTTTAAACAGTTGTATGTGGAATGATCTGACGACCGTGGCACACTGCACAGTTCACAAACTAGAGCGCAGACTCACAACACTCTGGAAACCTCGGGGAGCTCCCAAAACCGGCTGTGGGACGTGGCCCAGAACCACAGCTTCCACACTTGGTATCTTTAGCTCTTTGCATAAAGGTCACCTCTGCTCCTCGGTCCCCAGGGGTGGGCTTCTGGCCTGGCTTTCTGACTTTCTTTTGGGTTCTTTTTGTCCACATAGTATGGCTACACTTGCACAGCTCTGCCTCTGAGGGAGCCGTGATGATCTCTGCTGCTCCTGCAGTGGCCCTGACTGCTATTGCTCAGGTCCAAGTGAGGGCTCATGGCAGGCAGAGCTGTCAGCATGGCCAGTAAGATAGCATTGGCTCAGTGCTGCAGTTGGGTGTCACTGAGAAGGCAGTGCCCCAGTAGAGTCCGGCATCAGTAGCAGAATGGGCTAATGGACTCTGAAGAAGCCACTCATAGAGTGCGTGCGTGCGTGTGTGCATATGTGTGTGTTAGAGTAGGGAGGTTTTGGGGGCAGGTTTGAGTAGACCCCTGTCTGATAAAGAGTGGACAGAAAGGAAGGGAGCCTCACTCAAGATCTGGTTTAGTTGCTCAGTCCATGAAGATTTCATGAGAGCCCCAGTGTGGAACAAGCAAGTGGGAGGATGAAATGTCAAGTTCAGAGGAAGTGAAGAGTAAGCTGAAGTGAGCCTTGGTGCCAGATCAGTGACCACCCTCAGGAAGCCAGAGCAGAAGGCCTAGAGCCTTTTCTGTCATCTTCCTCTCCTCTGCTTCTCAGCTATTTGTCAACACAGCTTCCATAGAGATGCAGACTGCAGGTCTCTATCAGCCCCGGGACACCTGGATGCCATACCAGGCGGCCACCAGCAGGGGTCCAAAGGCCTGAGGGTACATGTGGTGTCCACTTACATAGAGGGAGACATACATGCCACATTGCTTATTTCCTAAAATAGTTCCCAGCCTCTCTTCATTCAACCTTTAGGGTCCCTTTGCCTGCTCCCAGCCTAAAACAGATGTTGGTCTCCCACTTTCTTTACATGTCCTTATGCTCTCTCCCAGTGTCCTTTACTGTTCAGAGTCCTGTCTTCCTCCTTTCTGTACCCCAAGAGCTGGGTATCTTGGAAGACTATCTCAGCTGCTGTTTCACTTCAGTGATGTCAGCAAGTCTCCAACAGATACAAGGCATTCCTGAAGGCTCTGCTATGACTCTGGCAGATTTCAGTTAGCACTACTTCCATAGATGTAGCCCTTCTACACCCTCTGTTGTGCTGAGTTGAAGGCATCAGCCATTGACTCCCACTTTCCTCCAGGGACCAAGATGATCTCCATCTAATCCTGAGCAGACCTTCAGCCCACACCCTCATAGTCTCAGATTGTGACCCTATGATGATCTGTCTCCTAAAATGTCAGAAAACTGACCATTGTCACACTGTAAATAAGCTCTACTATCAGTTAATGCACACATACACGCACGTACACACAATCAACTCTGCATGGAATCAGCTAGGAATATCTGCTACACACCTCTGACTACATTCAGCCATGAAATGGATTCTTTGGGGCTCTTGGGAGTCCCCCCACACCTCTAAATAGCCCTTTATCCTCATGGTTCGATTTGCCGCTAAACCTTAGTTCATATGTTTGCTACCTCCATTCAAGAGTCTGCCCCACCCGAGTGCCTCCCATTTATTGTGTATGTGCCACAGCTCACAGGTGGAGGTCAAAGGAAAATGTGAAGGAGTTGGTTGGTCCTCTTTCTACGGTGTGGGTCCCAGAGATCAAATTCAGATCATCAGGATTTGTGGCGAGCCCACTACACACTGAGCCATCTCATGAGCCCTCCACTCTGGATTCTTTACATCTCAGACCTAACATTACAGACCTCCCGATACATACATCCCCATTCGTGTCCCACCCTCAAGCTTCCCCATTTTTGTCAGTGACATGGTTCCTGTCAGGGTTAGGAACCTGGAAGTCATTTTTGTTTCATCCTCCCCCAGTCCCCCCTCAGTCCCTCAGTGAGCACATCCCTGGAGCCTACTTCTGTTGTGCCACCTGTCTTTGCAGCTGCCCTTTCTTAGAACACTGACGCTCTACTTTTCTTTCTGTTGTAATGACAAGACACTGACCAAAAGCAACTTGGAGCCAGCAGTGGTAGCACACACCTTTGATGCCAGTTCTCAGAAGTCAGAGGCAGGTGGGTCTGAAGAGTTTCAGGCCAACAAGGGCTACACAATGGGGGGAAAATAGCAACACATGGGAGGAAAGGGTTTCTTTGGATTACACTTCCAGGTCACAGTCTATCACTGAAGGAAGTCAGGGAAGGAACTCAAAGCAGAAACCATGCAGGAATGTCACTTGCTGCTTCACCCACAAGCCAATGCTCAGCTCGATGTCTGATTAACTCAGGACTGGAGGAGTTAGGGTGTGGGCAATCAGGAAAATGGCCAGACCTGAGAAGGAACTAAGCGTCCCACACAACACCTGGAATGCTCTTAACAAGGCCATCAATCAGGGATTGGAGAGATGGCTCAGTGGTTAAGACATTGACTGCTCTTCCAGAGGATCCATGTTCAATTCCCAGCACCCACATGGCAGTTAACAACTATCTGTAACTCCAAGATCTGACACCCTCACACAGACATACCTGCCAAACACCAATTAAAAAAACAAAAAACCAAGACCATCAGCCAGGGCCATTCTCTGGACAGTGATGTGGTTTTTCTATTTCTGTCCAACGATAGCATCCATTTGGGGATATTTTCTGTCTGGGCCAAGAAAATGAAATGAAATGGGAGGGGATCAAAGGAAGAAATGGTCCAAGGAATTTTTGAAGAGACCAACTCTTGGCAGTCCACCAGCTTTAAGGACTAAGCCTATCCCTACATAGGCTTTTTTGCTATTGTTTCAGGAATCTTTCTAACGCAAGCACCCCAGCACCAATAAGAGTGGAGGAGGGGAGATGTCACTGGTGGGCCAAAGCTAGGATGGCTCCTGAAAGGCCTTGGTATTCGGTCCAGTTTGCATTCACATTTATACTCTAACACAAGGTGGGGCGAACTGGCAAGATTTCACAGAAGCATATGTGGTAGTCAGAAGGTGATTAAGGGCAACAGCCCATTGTTTCAGCTGTTTCTCCAGGCCATTGTGTTCCAGGTATCAAGTGAAGTCATGCTTGGTGAATAGTATAAGCAGTACCTTAAGTAAATACCTAAATAAGTCAATGAATATAATAGTCAGCCCTTTTTTTTTTAATCTTATTCTACTTAACTACTTGCTTCCTGCTTCAGTTAACTCGTTTCCACCTTTTCTGAGTTTTTACTTCTTTCCCCTGTAATGTTCAGTTCTTTGTTCATCCTTGGGAAGAACATGGACTCCTAGACAGCCAGCCCTTAGTTCTTACACCCCCTCAACAGGACTACTGCCTAGGGATGGTTCTTCCCACAAGTAGGCTAGGCCCTCCCACAATAGCTAACAATGAAGAGAATCAATAACTTACAGATATGCCCACAGGCAGTCCTTCAATTGAGACTCCTTTCTTGGGTACTCTACAGTGTGTCAAGTTGACAAAGCTAACCAAGACAAGGGCTCTCCTTAAGTTTGTACAAGGCCAGCCCCTTAATTGGATTTCCACAAAACTGAAGCCAAGTTCACGCCCACCCACAGGACTTGCCATTGCTCTGCTTCCTTTTATGTTTACAATATTCTATGTGGATCCTGGTTTTTGTTCTCTTACTCGCTATGAGGCTCCTGCC